TATATATATAAATAAAACACATAGCTTCTGCTCCAAACCTGTCTGGTTAGCGATCTGAACAGCCAAAGTAGCGTACTGCAGAGCCTCCTCCTTCTCTCCCTGATTCATCAGCAGCTCAGTCAGTTTGCTCAACACTCGAAACTCTGAATGGATGTCCTTGATGCTGCGTGCAAATGGCAAACTCCCATCCTGTAAATCAAAATAATCATTTGTCTGAGCTCCAGAATACAAAGACAGTATTAAAATAGAAACTGAAGCTGGTTAGGAAAAATACTGCCTTGTGATGTAGTTGTTGTGACAATAAACCRCACCAAGTTTAAGTAGGGGTTCTCTGCAATACAGTGTGGTTTGAGTTTGTCCTGTTATTGGCAGAAATGGGAATATAGGTGGAGGTTCTTGGGTGGGCGGAGTTTGACCGTGAATGGTCAGATTGATTTGTCTTCTGGGGCCAGTTAAAGATGGATTAATGGTGATAGTAAAATTATTGTGAATAAAAGTTGTGAACATGTGAACATAATTTATTGACTACAAACATGGTGCAGCTAGGACCTTCCTGTCTGGACTTTTAACTAATAAAAATGTCCATCTTTTTCCAGGCGGGTTAGTGCTGTTTAAACCAAGCAGTATAGTTACGGTACAAGTCTCTCTGCTTGTACAGTGTTCAGATTTCTGTCTCAAGTTATGACTCAAATTAATATTTTTATTTAAAGTTATTGGCTTCTTGGCTGTTTTGACCAAGTTACTCGTACCCACATTTGCTCAGCATTCATCCTACCAAATCTTTATGGTTTCTTCAAAACACACCCAAAATAGTCAATCCAACCGATTAAGGCTAGAAACTCCCACTTAGTGACTGCAGAGACCCCCTTCTCACCAAGATGGCCTTTTTCCCCCCACTTACCCTGTAGAAATTCAGTGAAGCCATTCGATTTCTGTGACCTTTGAAGTAAACGTCTCCCGCCTCCTCATAGATGCTCATAGCAAAGAGAGGATTGTTCATCCTCAGGGCTGTCTTCACTGCCGCCTGCAAATATATTAGTATTTTTGAATCCCTGTGGCATGAGCTTTGTTGTYGCTAAGGATAATTGTACATTGTGAAGGATTTGGAATGTAGAAGTAACTCATAAAGTCAACTTTTTTTTTACAGCTTGTGCACTCAAACACGTGCAAAGAATAACATTCCTATTGAGGTCATTGTCRGTTCAGGAATGTTGAGGTACATGAAAGAACAATAACCGGAACAAGGAAATAAAAACTGTAACTGATAACACAAACGCTCCATGCTATCATAATACACTTCCTCCTAACCTGCAAGTACATGTCAGCCAGCTCGTCCTCCTGGATCAGGTAGTAGATGCGTCCCACCTGCAGCCAGGTCTCTGACTCCTCCTCTCTCTTGCCCAGATCAATAGAAATCCTCAGACTCTGCTTGGTGTAGTCGAGAGACTTACGAGAAGATCTGCRCCRCAGAGTTAGAAATAAAGAGTAAAACAAACATGTTTGAAATAAGACAATGTGACTGAGAAGGGAGGGGATAAAAAAAGGTTTACTTCTCTGTGTTGAGAGCGAGGTAGAAGCTGCTGAGTTTTTCCAGACACTCGCCCTCCAGTCTCTTGTCTTTCAGCTCTCTGGACATGGACACGCAGTGCTCATAGTAAACAATACTTTGTCCGTAGAGCAGCATGTCAGCATACAACCGACTCAGAATCTTGGCCACTACTGTTTGACCTGCAACAAGTAAAGAAAAGAAAAAAAAAAAAACATTATGTTTGTCCTGAAGCAAAACATGCATTGATAGATTTATTTGTAATAAAATAAAGCAGAAAAGGGCTAAATACTTATCAGAAGATAGAATTCAGTTTGCATACAAGACATATGTGTCATATTCATTTCAGATTTTTAATAATTTATTTTAAATGTTCTTATTTCAGAGTGAAATAATTATTTAAGTATTGGGTGCCTGAGTTTAAACTAAATAATTGAATTCAAATTATTCACACAGACTCAAATATATAAAGTACATATTTTTACAATATTTACAATATCACCTCTCTGGACGTTTTAAACAGATTTATTTTTTATGTTTGCATTTTTTTTACTGACCAGAAAAAAAGCCAAATGCTAAAATACCCAGGCTGTGCCACTAGATGGCAGTAACACCAATATTAACAACATGCTTTTCTCAAAACTTAACAGTTTGACAGAAAGCAAACTGGATTTCCTGTTTTGTTTTTGAAGACTTTTGTGACCTAGCACATCAAACCAAGAATTAAGACCTAAAGTGGTATGTAGAGAAATAGTAAGATGTAGTGCATTAGTTAAAATATTTGCAACAGTTGCATTTCGTCAAAATGCAGTATAATAAACAAACAACTTATCTGTGGGCCAATAAAATATCCGAATTATAATTTCAAAACATTTTTAAGCCATTTTTTGTGTAGTGGCTACAAAATACATGATTTTGAGCAGAAAAGCCTTACATTTTTGTTCTTTCCCTTGCAATATAGCAAAGTTTTGTTTTCTTTCCAGGAAATYGTAATACACAAAAACTGTTTGAGGTTTCCATTTAAAATTACATTTAAAATATTCCCATTAGAATAACCTAAAAATAGGATTCAGACCAAACATTAATGAGTTATCCTAGAAAGACAAAGCAAGGCATACCTTTGGAGGTGTCAGGGAGATCCAGGTATCAAAATATAGTTTAAAAAGCCAGAAATTTGAAARTGTACTCAGGTTATTTTGACCAAATTTGACTTAACCCTCAGTTTGATGTGATCGGTCACATTTTACTTCTTATCTTTCTTCAAAACAAGAAATGGAGTCTAGGTACATTCAATAACATTGTGTTCTTATAAATTGCTGTTTTTTTCTAAACTCTGAACTGTTTTAGGACAGAAGCAATTCCCATTAGCTTTGGGCCCTTTCAAACTAGCTGTTAGCTATCTACAATAGATCATTTTTCTCAAAACACACTGAGTCCAATTTTAGTAAATTCAAATCATCTCTTTAAGAGTTTTTCAAATGTTTAAYTTCAAAAGTTGTTCCTATTATTAATATTTTA